AAAACTCACCTACAAAATATTATAAATCTACATTAAAGTGACCTAAATAGGAGATGTACATCTGGCCCCTAAAATCACCTTACATAGGGTTCTGTTTATACCATCTTTCAAGTTTAACCTAGTCTCCATTAGTTCAATAACAGTGCATCTCAAGTGTATTGCTTCCTTTTCTGATACCTCCTGTCTACTGCAGGCCCCTTCACTAAAGACGCCTTTAGAGATTGGTAAGATGTATGTTGGGCTCTACTTTTTATGTTCTCAATGTCTAAAGAAAGGTAGTCTTATTTATGTTTCGAAGTGTGCGCTTCCTTGTTTTTCCAGTGATGCTAGTGATATGAATGCAGTACACTGTCTATTCCATCCCTACTGCCCTACTGTAAATAATCTCATTTGCAATAATAAAGACAGTGCTTCTACTCTGCTTTTCTCTACCTCTATCAGAGACAGTTTGGATCTTCTGTGGCATTATAGACTTGGTCATGTACCCTTCAATAAAATGAGAGGCATTCATACTATACATGCATCTTTCTCTCCCAAACAACCATTTATTTGTTCCATCTATCCCATGGCCAGACACTCTAGATTCCCCTTCCCTCATAAAATAACCAGTACTACAAAAATCTTTGAACTTCTTCATGTTGACATGTGGGGTCCTTATCATGTGGCAACACATAATAATTTCAAGTATTTCCTCACCTTAGTGGATGACTACAGTAGGTCAACCTGGACACTTCTAAGTTGCAAAAGCAATGCACTTCAAGTCATAAAAACCTTTGCAAACATGGTAGAGAACTAATTCAAAACCAATATCCAGTGTGTAAGGACTGATAATGGCCTAGAATTCACTAGCAATGAAGTTTCTTCTTTCTTTCAATCAAAAGATATAAATCACTAGAAAACATATCCTTATACACCCCAACAAAATGGGGTGGTAGAAAAAAAACATAAATATCTTCTTGAAGTAGCCAGGGCACTTTTTCAGTCCAAATTACCACTAAAATACTTTGGAGAATGTATCCTTACAGCAACCTTTATAATCAACAAGCTACCAACAGTTCCCTTAAAGAACAAATGTCCTTCTGAACTCTTGTATGACAAGAAACCAACCTACTCTCACTTGAGAAGCTTTGGCTGTTTGTGTTATCCTACTGTGCCTAAACCTTTCAAGGACAAGTTTGAACCAAGGGCCACACCACATGTATTTGTGGGGTATCCCTTTGGGACAAAGGATTACAAAGTACTAAGTCTAGCCACTAAGAAAATCTCTGTCTCTAGGGATGTCTTATTTCATGAAACCATTTTCCCTTTCACTTTCACTTTCACTTCAGATGTGCAAAGCCTACCCCCATTCTTTCCTACAACTTATTCTATAGATCACCTACCTGATTACACTATTGTTTCTCCTACAACTTCTACCATTGATCAAGGGGACACAAAATCAATCCCCCCCTTTCTTCCTCCAGCACCACAACTCCTCTACCTGATATGTCACCCATTCCTCCTTCTAATACACCCCTTTCCTTTGAATCACAAACTCACACTGAACACTTCCACCTTTCCACATCACCTTCAACCACTCAACCTTATCCTTCTTCCATAGAACCTTTAAGTCAAAGAAGATCTAGTAGAGAACTCAGACTCCCCTCTCACTTGAGTGATTATGTATGTAATCTACCCAGTTTGAAATGTAATTCCATTTTTGCCCTCCATGCTTTGTCTTCACAAAATAACCACATTGCTCTTGATGAACTGCACCCTAATAGTCAACATGTTGTAAGAAATATTTGTCATGATAGAGAGCCAACTTCATATGAAGAGGCAGCTATCTATCCTGCTTGGCAGAGTGCCATGACTCAAGAATTTGAGGCCTTATATGCCAACAATACTTAGGACTTAGTCCTTTTACCAAAGGGGAAGGAGGCCATTGGTTGTAGGTGGGTGTACAAGGTAAAACACAAAGCAGATGGTAGCATAGAAAGGTACAAAGCCAGACTAGTTGTGAAGGGGTACACACAACAAGCTAGAATTGATTACATTGAGACCTTTTCTCCTGTGGTCAAGATGACCACTGTCAAGTCTTTAATTTCCATGCAGCTAAGAAGAGATGGTAAATTTACCAATTAGAAGGAAATAATGCATTTCTCCATGGAGATCTGCATGAGGAAGTCTACATAAAGTGTGATGACCCAAAAAGTCATCACTTGTTTTAGAAAAAAATTCAGTGTTCCGAGGCCTAGAAACCTCCTTTTTTTTTCTCACCTCGATTTGCATGTGCAGTCCGTATAATTTTTCAGAACGTTTTTATGTGAAAAAAATGGATTAAAATTTGAAATAGCTCCATTATGTCATTTATGACTTGTGTGCCAAATTTGAATCATTCCGGATCCATTTGATATGTTTCGGCGCAAGTTTTGTAAATTGAAAAGTTTGAAACTCATAAGTCCGAATCGAGGTGTGAATTGACGTTTCAAAATTTCTTGGAATGATTTAAAACCCTAGGTAAGTCCATATGATGTATTAAGACTTGTTGATATATTTTGTTGAAGTCCCGAGGGCCTCGAGTGGATTTTGGATGGTTGATGGAGTTTAACTTGGGCATTTCAAGAATGTCTCGATGTCGTTTCTTCAAGAATAAGTGGTATCATATTAAGCAAATGAACTCCAAATTAAGTTTTGATTGAATCATTAGATCCGTATCGAAATTTCGCAGCCATAGCAAAAAGAATCGTCCAATTCGGACATCGTATGAGAGAGTTATGCCCATTTTTGTGTCGGGGAAAAATAGTTTCCCATCGCCAGCGCCCAGGGTAGAGCGGAGCGCCATCCATGGCGTCGGGATTATTTTTTGGTACTGGAACCAGCGGCATAGGCAGCGCCCGGCGCCACCTGTGACGCCCGAATCGTAAAATGCTATAAAACGGGGGTTTTGGCCATTTTTGACAAAAATAGAGTTGGGGGAGCTCGGTTTGGGCGATTTTCAGAGGGGTTTTCATAAATTTGAATGAGGTAAGTGTTATTTATCATAAATCCTTTATAGATCATGATTCCATACTCATTTACATCATGAATCCATGAATTTATGGAAGAAAAATCAGATTTTTGCCAGATATTCCAAAAACAAAAATTTAAGATTGGAAAGCTAATCCGATGTCGGAATTCGATAATTTTTGTATGGTTGAACTCGTATCGGAATGGGTTATCATATTTTGTCAGTTTCATATGATTCCGAGGAGTGGGCCCCACGGGCAATTTTTGAGTTAAATTTCGGAGTTAAATCCGAAAAATTAGTAAATTCATATGGAATTAATTTCTACTATTTGTATTGAGTATATTAAATTATTTGTGACTAGATTTGAAGCCTTCGAACACGAATTTTCAAGGCGAAGGTGTATTGGAATCTTGAATTTGGTTGCAAAGCGAGGTAAGTGTTTGATCTAACTTTGGCTTGAAGGAATAGGATTAAAGTGTTATTAATTGCTAATTGCTAAATGATCGAGTACGGTGTATAGGCATGGTGACGAGTATCTATACACCGGTGTCTAGCATGACCGTGAATCCTTGTATGCACTTATCCTGATATTGTTATGACTCCTCCATGTTAATTGATGAATTTTATGCAATGTGAAGAGTATGAGAACTAATTATGAATTGCAAATCCTTTGGAGCGCTTGCTCGAACGACAAAAAGACTATTGAGTAAGAAATGAAAGCAATAGAAAGGGGAATGATTAATCCCTTGCCGGGGTGGTTTGAGTTATTAACTATTTCCCTTGCCGGGATATGAAAGTATTGTTGTTGCTCCCTTGCCGGGAGTTAGCTGTTAATTGTGTAATTCCCTTGCCGGGACAGTTCTTATTATTTGTTTATCCCCTCGCCCCGTTTGGTTGCGATTACTGTTTGGGTGAGGAAGAGTGATAATGCACGAAGGGTCATTCCATGCCATGTTTTGATTATATTTGCACGAAGGGTCATTCCGTGCCGTGTTTTGATTATATTTGCATGAAGGGTCATTCCGTGCAATGTTTTGATTATATTTGCACGAAGGATCATTCCGTGCCATGATATGAGAGTTACGTGAGGGAAAGCACGAAGGGCGATGCCGTGCACTTCATTTGATTGCTTTGGTGAGAATGAGAGTGAAAGCACGAAGGTTGATGCCGTGCAATTGTTGATTGTCCTGCTCTCATTAATTATTGTTATTGCCTTGTTTCTTATTTAAATTGTTGACTTTATCTCCGGACTGTACCTCCCCATAGTATGTTTCCCTCCCTCTTAACTGTTAAACTTCTGTATTCTTTCCTTGTACTGCATATATATATACATTGAACTGCACAGGTTGATTTGGTAGTCCTGTCTAGCCTCGTCACTACTTCGTCGGGGTTAGGCCAGGCACTTACCAACACATGGGGTCGCTTGTGCTGATGCTACACTTCTGTGCTCTTTTGCACAGATCACGGTACTGGAGCAGCTTTTGGACCACAGCAGTAGGATATCGATCAGGAGCTGACTTCAGTCCAGGGACTTACGAGGTAGCCTAGCTGGCGTTCGCAGGCCGGAGTCCCTTTCTATGTTTCAGCTTGTTTCCATTGTACCGAGACAGACATTTATGTATTTCTATTCTGACTTGTTTGTAGCACTCTTTAGTAGTTCGTGAGATAGCGACTCCAGTCTTGGGTAGTGAAATATTAGACTTCCGCATTTTGGATTTTCAGTTATCTATGTTTTGAAAGACTTCCGCATTTATTTAAAGACTCGTTATTTTATTATTGTTATGTTGTTATCCGAAAATGTTTAAATGTTAGCTTGCCTAGCTCCAACAGTAGGCGCCATCACGACTCCCGATGGTTGGAAATCCGGGTCGTGACATAAAGGCTCCACCAGGACTTGAGCTGAAGTCACCAAACTTGTTCGGCAAAGTCCCTCTATGGGCTGAAACAAGCTAGTAGGCAGTGTTATGATAAGTTGACTGAGGCCTTGTACACAAGAGGATACACACATTCCATGCATGATTATTCCCTGTTCTACAAGAAGCAAGGTTCTTCAACTGTTTTTGTAGCAGTTTATGTTGATGATATTCTCCTCATACGCACTGATTTAGAGGAAATTAGTCAGCTCAAAGCTTTCCTACATGATATATTCAAAATAAAAGATTTGGGGCAGCTACATTATTTTCTACGACTAGAGGTACTTTACAAGGAAGATGGTATTATTATCTCACAAAGAAAATTTGTTCTGGACCTTCTAAAAGAATATGATTGCCTGCACTCAACCAGCCTGACCTTTCCTCTTGATCCCGCAATGAAACTGAAGGCTAAGGAGGGCTCTCCTTTATTTGATTCTACCTTTTACAGGAGATTGGTTGGGAAGTTGAATTTTCTTACAAACACCATATTGGATATAGCTTATGGGGTCCAACATTTGCGTCAGATTATGCAAGATCCCAGGGAACCCCATCTACATGCAGCTTATCACATGTTGAGGTACCTTAAGAAATATCCTACTTTGGGCCTGTACTTCAGCAATGCATCTGATCTTTCCATCACTGCTTACTGTGATTCTGACTGGGCAGCTTGCCCTGATTCTAGGAGGTCTGTGTCTGGTTACATTGTGCTTATAGGAGGTAGTCCTGTGAGCTGGAAGTCCAAGAAACAGGAAACCATTTCCTTGTCCTCGGCAGAAGAAAAGTACATAGCACTTAGGAAGGTGGTAGGCGAATTAGTATGGCTACACAAGTTATTTGAAGAACTCATTGTTCCAGTCTCCTTGTCCATACTTGTACATTGTGATAGCAGTCTGCTCTACACATTGCCAGGAATCTTGTATTTCGTGAGCGAACAAAACACGTTGAAGTGGATTGCCATTTTGTGCGCACCAAGCTTCAGGAGGGCCTTATTTCCTTGCATCATATTGGCACTATAGAGCAACTGGCAAATGTTCTTACTAAAGCGCTCGCTGGAATGAAGCATTCCTTTGTTCTTGGCAACTTGGTTGTGATTACCTCACCTCCAACTTGAGGGAGGGTATTGAGATTATATTCTATATTTGCACACACTTGTATTACACTTGCTGAGTCAGCATAACATTAGCATTAGTCTATTTTTAGAAAGGTTCCAGTTGTCAGCTTAGTTAGTTTAGTTGTTGTATTGTGTTGCTTATGTGTATAAAGAGGACAATACTCAGTAATAGATATTTTGAGTTTCACTTTTCCAAATGAGAGACTCCTCACTGTTCATTTCTTTCTCTCTTCGAACCACATATTCTAGAATGTCCTAAATCCTCCATTTGAGGAGGAGTAGAGCTCACTCCGAGTTTATAATCTTGACATATTAATCTCATCTTTTCTTATCCGCAAAATTATATTACTAATATGTTGTTTCTTTTGCTTCGATTTTTTTATCATCTTATCTTATTGTTGCTATTGTTGGGTTTTTAAGGTATTTAATTAATATATTAAATACTTAAAAGAGGGTGAATGGGAAATGGAGGGAAATGAAATTTTTTTGAGTGAAATTTTAAGTTCCCCCTCCCTTGGCAAATGGGCATTGTCCCATATTGGAAGAGGAAGAGGTTTTTTATGGGTATATAAGCAATTGCTCTTCTTCTAGCTCTTAAAGAGTTGAGAAGAAGGCAAGCCTCGCGCCGTCGTCGTCGTCGCTCGCTCGGCTCGGCTTCGGCTTCGGCTACGGCTTCGGCTTCGGCTTCGGCTTCGGCTTCGGCTTCGGATTCGGATTTGGATTTGGTCAAATGATCGATTGATTGATTAACTTTTTGGACCAAATTTATTTGTTAATAGTAAAATATTAACA